ACTTTCATCCATTTGTTGCCTCATAATTTCTATAGAAGCATTTATAAGGCTTGGCATCGTATGGGATGTTCCTCCTAAGAATTGGTTCCTACCCAAATTTGCTATACCAGTTCCAGATCCCTGCAATGGAGAAGATGCACTCACTAAAGGGTTTGAAAATGTGGATGCAACATTCATAAGGCTTTCCATTTTAGTAATTGGAATGCCATAGGGTTGGTCTCGACCCATCCATACTGTCGAAAATCCTGGAGGGATATAGGGTCGAACTCATGGATTTCCCCTTGGTGGGGGTGTTCTTGGTGGACCCCTAGGACATACATAAGAAAGTATTGGTCATGTTTGCGTAACCGTTACTGCTGGTGTCGAACCAACCGTTGATGGAAAAGGTTCACTAATTGTGGGTATCACCCTAGTTTCAATGCCAGAAATTGGTGGAGGCATTTCTCCACTAGACTGATTAGCCATTGTACTATTTCTTTTCTTAGGTACGTATTCTTTTATGGTTGTTTTTCCACTTCTTAATAACATACAACAATCTTTGAAAGAAATGAAATTACTTGAAGCATTTATGATAAAAACTATTTTTATAAAAGTTTATATAAGAAAATAAAAGATTTCAGCAAGGTCTCACCAGGTGTGCCAATTTGTTTACCTTGAAAATTGGTAAACAACCGTTGATCTTCCAAAAAGGGTTATTTTGGTGACTTGCAGGATCGATCATATTGATCCTAGGACATATGCTGGGTTTTTTATAAGTAAGTGAGTTTAAGTGAAAAGGGTTGAAAGGGAAAGTAAGAGAAAAGGCAAGATGCAGGCAGAAAACTTGATAAAAGTGCAAGTAACAGATAAGTAGAAAGGGTTGAGAAGAGTTCAAGGGTAAAGGTTGAAAAATGATAAAAAGTGCAAGTAAATGGCAAAATAAAGTAAATTTGCAGTAATGATAAAGTCTACAGATGAATGTAAAGGAATTGTAAAGACTTTGATTGAAATAAAAGATGGTGTTTCAAACGTACATTCTCAATATCTTTTCTCTCACAGCGGGTACTCGGATATGATTGAGTGATTTGTACTAATAAGTTGAACACACAGAAATCTACATGAAATTCCTATATTTATACTAAAACTAAGTAACCGTCGAATAGTTTCCTCGTTCCAGGATGAGGACAAGTGTCCCCTTCATGTGCTTCAACTTCTATCTTCATGTCACGTTGCTTTCCTCAACTGTCAAGTGAACCGCCTTTCCCTCCTTTCTTCAGATTCAAAATTCACTTGTTTGCTGATACAAGGATCTTTCAGTCGAAGACCGCAGGATCCTCTCGGTCAAAAACTAGAAAAACTTCTTGGTCGAAGACCAAATTTAACTTAGAAAATTCTCTAAGTGTTTTCTCCTTCTTAGCAAGGATTACTTCGACACAACCTCTTTCATAGGCTCTTATGGTTGAAGTGTTGGCAACTCTAGATTTCTTCAATATATTTTTAGCCAATAAGACCAATATATTATGGGTGTCGAATTTAGGAGCTAACACAATCTTATTTTCAAGGTCTATATAAAGGAACCTCATCAGCATTTGAAGATTGACGAACTATCAACGATTATCAAGCTTGAATCAAATTTTTGAAATATTGTGAAACATCAAGAGAAAAGAAGAATCACTATTCGTATACATCCTTAAATATTCTTCTAGAGAAATATCAAGAATACAAGAGTTGTTTCTCGTTATTGTGTTAAGACATTATGGATTAAACACAAAGAGTTGTTGCTCATTATTTGTGTTTCATCTTAGAGTTCTCAATACAAAGAGTTGTTGCTCATTATTTGTATTAGATACTTTGTTCTTTATTCTTGTGTTAATCTGCTTTTTAGAAGCAAACATTGTAAACACAATTGATTGTAATTCTGATTAGAATTGATTATTGCCTCAAGTGACTAGGTTGTTAGTCTGAGACTTAAAAGGGATACGGTGCCAGTTTGGACTCTTAGACGGTTATGGTTAGTCACCAGCGGGTAGCCCGTGCATTTGTAATCTGTTAAGATTAGTGCATTAAGTCACTGTTGAAGGCGAAATCACCTGAGGAGGGTGGACAAGAGTAACCTTGTTGAAGGTGAACCTGGATAAACCAAAGAGACATTTTTTAGTCTTTCTTTAGTTATATTCTTTCTAGTTAATTTGCAAAATATTTCTAAAAGTAAAAGCTTATTAGAAAATCCAATTCAAATCCCCCACTTTCTTGTGTTTTTCTCACCCTTCAATTGGTATCAGATCATGATTCTTCACTAATTTTCAAATTAAACACTTAACTGTGTAGAGAGATCCATTTGAAAAAAAAATTTATGGCCACGCCTGCAAACAACAATGAAAAAGATAACTATTTTTCCAAGCCTTCTATTTTTTATGGAGAAAGATTTGACTGCTGGAAGGATAGACTAGAGAGTTTCTTTCTGGGTTATGATGCAGATCTCTGGGATTTGATTATATATGGCTATGGGGAACCTATATCTGAAGAATGTATTCCTATTCCCATGAGTCAAATGAGTGAAGATTAGAAACGATGAAGCAAGAATCATTATAAAGCCATAACCATTATTCTCAGTATTATCTCATATAATAAATATGAGAAAATCACCAGTAGAGAAACAACTAAGCAAATCTATGATTCTTTAAATGACTCATGAAGAGAATGCTCAAGTAAAGGAGACTAAAGCATTAACTTTAATTCAGAAATATGAAGTATTCAAGATGGAAGAAGATGAAACTATTAAGACCATGTTCTCAAGGTTTCAAACCTTAGTAGAAAGACTCAAAGTCCTGGACAAAGGATATATAACAGCGGACCTTGTTAAGAAGATCATCATAAGTCTTCCAAAGAAGTGGAGACCTATGGTAACAACTTTGAAACTTTCTAAAGATCTGAACAAAATCATCCTTAAAGAGTTAATCAACACTCTAAGAAGTCACAAAATAGAGTTGAAGGAAGATGAACCTCAGAAAAAGGCTAAGTCCATCGCTCTAAGGTCCAAATCAGAAAAGGAGATCAAGACAGGAAGACTCAAAGCTCTCAAATGTGATGAAGAAGAAGATTCAGATGATGAAGATTCAAATGATGATGATGAATTGTCATTACATTTCAGAAGAGTGAAAAAACTCTGGAGAAGACAAAATAATTCTAGAAGATTCAGAAGAGATCGCTCAGATTTTTTCTCAAAGGGGAATAAAAAAGTCACGTGATATGAATGTAATGAACCAGGACATTATAAAAATGAGTGTCCAAAGTTAAAGAAAGAAGGCTCCAGAAATGGAAGTTCCAAGAACAACAACTTCAAAGGTAAAAAGAAAGGTCTCATGACAACATGGGATGATTCAGAAGCATCAGAATCAGATTCTGATGAAGAGCATACAAACGTAGCAATTACAGCTATCATTTAGAAGAAAGTTTAACAAATACAATGTTGACTCTGAAGAGGTATTTTCTGAATTCTCTCAAGCTGAATTAGAATTATGTTTATCAAAAACTTTGAACAAGCATCAAAAGCTTCAACGAAAATTCAAGAATCTTCTGATGGCTCATGAATATGAAATTGAAGAATCTGATAAGCTAGAGAAAGAAAGTTTTGAACAAAAAAGTGATCATTCTATTTTGAAAAATGAAAATCCTTGAGTAAAAATTGTTCAGAATTTTAAAAAGATCTTTCTAAAGTCTCTCTATCTTCTGAAACTGTTGTATATCAACATGATAAGTTTCAAAAATTCCGATATTAGACTGGAACTTTTCGGTAATTTTGCCACTACGAGATGAAATGTTAATTCCTCTAAAGATTCACATCAACACTTTATTACACTCAAGCAAAGAAACAGCTGGATGAACATATTTGTTTCAGCTTTAAAAAAATTGATTTTTTTTTAGATTTTTGAAAATAGATTTTACAAAACTGTTTTTCAAAATATTATCAATTTTTTAATATTCATTTTTTTTTATAAATAAAAACACTAAATTTGATTTCTTATAACATAAACATGTATTATTGAAGATCAAAACATAGTCAAAATTGTAATTTTTTTCAAAAAGTTATATTTCAAAAATAATTTTTATGAAAATCTATTTGAAATAGTTTCAAAATTAAATAATTTTTTGAAATTTCGATATTCAAAAAAGTTTTCATAAAAAGATAAAATACTTAAAATAATATTTTAAGAATAAATTTTCATTTAAAACATTTATGAAAACTTTCTTTTGTAAATTTTTTTAACACTTTCTTGTTATAGCTGCAAATATAACTGCATATAATAGCTGCAACATTTATCAAAACAAACAACTCCATAGAATTACTTGTCGAACTGATTTTACAATCTCTCAAATTGCAAAGAAAATATGATCTATCCAATTCAAAATTATATTCGAATATGATGCATGATCAATTGAGTAACTTGAACGAAAATAAGTTTATAACTTTAAAAATTATCATTCAATAGAAAGTATCGAAAGGAAATTTACCAATTAATATTAAATATCAAAACCTTGAAAAGTATGTTTGATTTGATTTTGTAAAACTGTTTTAATTTTTAAAATTTGTTTTATTTCACCATTCCTTATCTCTGTTTTTAATTTGATAGTTTATTTATTATTAGAGAGACCCATTAAAATGAAAGCAACAATTTCGTGAGAATGTGTGAAAGAAGCTGAATTGGAAAAAAAAAATTGACTTATTACCACCACTCTCATACACCTCTCACACACACCCAACAACCATAATAACAACCATAATTTGATTGTCGACTATGATTTTTATTTCCTCAACACAACACGCACACTGAACTCACGCGCTCAAATCTCAATCTCTATAATAATAATAATAAATAGGACTTGACTTGTTTATTTTTGCATTAAAAATAGGACTCCACTTATAGTTTATTCACATTTGCATCATAATAAATTCTATTTCAACCCTTCTTTATATTCCAATCCATCTAGTTACTTAGAATAATAAACACAAACAAACGAAAATGTTGCAGCTATTATATGCTGTTATATTTGCAGAAATGTTAATGATTACGAGCTTTCTGTTCAAGACACCGCTAAGGAAGCTCGTGATCATGGCTTTGAACACGGCCAAGCGAGGCCGTGGACCAGTTGTTGTTAAAACCATCACCGTCATGTTGGCGGTGATGCTTGCTTCTGCACTCTACAGTATTTATAAGATTCGTTGTCGTTATATGGGAAGTGTTACTATTATTGATCCCACTGATCAAGTACTCTTGTCCAACCACCTATTACAAGCTTCTCTTTTGGGTAATAAATCAACTTTTCACTTTCACTTTCACTTTTATTCTTTCTGTTCTAATTTGTTTTATATTGTGATTGTGTGGACAGGGTTTGTTTTGTTCCTCTCTTTGGTTATAGATAGATTGCATCGTTATATTAGAGAGCTTCGGGTTCTTAGGAAAACTATGGAAAGTATTAAGAATCAAAATCGAAGTTTAGAGAGCAGTAAAAGCGTCAGTGCATTGGAGAACAAGACCTTGAAGGAAGAAATTGGTGCATTGAGGTTCAAAATTGAGAACCTAGAATCTGAATGTCAAGTAAAAAGAAAGCAGGGCTAAGTCATTGGAAACTGAAGTGGATGCTTAGAATCTTAGGAAAGTTTTGGAGGCTATAAAATAAAGATCTTATGTTGATGACACGATTTATGAAAGTGTTGTTTTTGTCTTGGTTGGGGTTGTTTTACATGAGAAGAGTAGCTTATAGTTTAGTTATAGGTTATTGTTGAATATATTTAAAGTTTGCTGTAAAATCTATGTCAAGGATCAATTATTTATTTACAATAGGATCAATTCACATTCTTTTGTTAGTGTATAAGATGATGATGACTGAAAGAATGATAGAATATATTTATTACTCTGTAATGACGGCTATAAAAGTGTAAAAGATTGATTACAAATGACAACTACTAGTCTATTTATACATAAAGTAAATTGTCACGTAGACCCTACAAAAAGTAAACTTAAATACTAAGTTAACTTAATAGCTAAACTAACAAAACAACTAGAACTCCAAAAGCTAAACATACTTTTGGACGTAACCTCAGAAACTTCTGCTTCTGACTAACAACCTCAGAGACTCTATTGCTTTTAAGCAACACTACTTTTGAATAATAACATAAGAAGCTTATGATTCTAACAACAACTTCTGAATATGAATTACTTCCAACACCATCCCTTAATTCATATTCAGCTAACCAAAATCTACAACAACACTAATTTCATCCCTCAAACGGATAAGGTGTTCAATCTTGACAGCTTCACAGGTTGACAATGCAACTACCGGTTGCTTCTTGGAGCAACAAGAAATGAGACTTTCCAGATATTTGAAAACATATCCAGAAGTACTTCTTCTATCAACTCTGTCACCACACCTATCAGAGTCTGAATAGCATATCAGCTCTGCATCAGTCTTCAGATTAGAAGGGAATAACACTCCATACCTTAGAGTCCTTTAAGTATCTTGCAGCTTGTCAAAATCTGCAAATCTCCTTCATATTTGTCTGATTCTTTGTGGCCTCTAGACTTGTTCAGAATCTCCTTTTGATTCTAGAACAATATCTCCTTCTGGACTTTCTTCAGAAGTTCGACTACCACCAGAAGCTACACCTTTGTTAACTTTTGGACGTCGTCCAGAACCACTACCTTTAGAAATACCACCTTCAAAAGTTGAATCGCCTTCAGAAGTTCCACCTTCAGAAACCTGATCATCGTTAGAGGATGGACTGTCTTTAGAAGCTCTTCCTTCAGAAGGTCCACCTTCAGAGTCATGATTACCACCAGAAACATGATCATCTCCAGAAGCTTGTCCTCTAGAAACTACGTCTTCAGAGTTTTCCCTTCCAGAAACACGACCACCACCATATTTTAAATATGGATCAGAATCAGATTCACCATCAAAAATAGACTCGCCTTCAAAGTCTTCTTCTTCAGAGTCACTTTCAGACTCAGACTCGTCTTCAAAACTTTCAGATTCTGACTCATCTTTAGAAGCTCCATCAGACTCTGACTCATCTTCAGAGTCTTCAAATTCTTCTTCTGATTCTGACTCATATTCAAATATTCATTCGGAATATTCAGAGTCATCTTCTTCCCCTTCAAAATCAGAAAATGAAAATAGCACAGGTTCCTCATCAGATTCATAAGCCATCAATAGCATAGGTTCATCATCAAAATCTTCTCTGGCTATTTTTGCTTCTTCTTTGTTGACCAACAATCTTTAGCAAAGTGACCAAACCTATTACAACAGTAACACTGAACCATTCTCTTGTCATATTTCTCCTTTCCCTTATGACGTTTCTTCTCATCAGAATAGAAAACTTCTGACTTCTGATACCTACCATGTTTTTTCTGTTTCTGGTCCTTCTTGACAAAAGACGCCTTTAGAGCCTGTTCAACTTATCTTTCATAAGTTCTTTCAATCAGACGCAACTCTTGCGCCTCTAGACTGCTTTGTAGATCTTCTATTCTCACGGTGTCCAGATCTTTATAATGTTCAATTTTTACAACAATGTAATCAAATTGAGGAGTAATAGACCTCAATATCTTCTCAATGTTTACTTGTTCAGAAAGGGTTTCTCCACAAGATTTCATCTCATTAGTGATCAGAATCACTCTGGAGATGTACTCATATACCTTCTCATTGTCCTTCATGTTGAGATTCTCATACCGCTTTCATAGAGAATGGAGCTTCACCTTCTTCACTGGTGCATCACCACTGTAACACCTAACCAATGTGTCCCATGCAACCTTCACTATCGTCGAGTCATTGATTTTCTTAAATACATTCACATCCACACACTGATGAATGTAGAGCAATGCCTTATGATCTTTCTTCCTTTTGTCTCTCTGCGCGTTTCTTTGTTCCTCCGTTGCACACGCTGCAACCGAAACGTAACCTTCGGTAACAAGCTCAAGAACATCTTGAGCACCGAACAACACGCACATCTGAATCATCCAGCGATTCCAGTTCTTGCTATCGAACACTGGAAGTTTGGTGCTCAGACTACCGTTTTCGTTCATCTTCAACCTTGTGCAAGTCACTCAGATCTCACCAAACACAGTGTTTCCTAATCCAACAGAATCAGAAAATGTGATTTTGTTATGATTCCGTTTACGAAATCAATCACACAACACCTCACTATTTCACTCGTATTTCCCGTGTTTCCATATGTATCCAAAACAGAGCTCTAGATACCAATTGTTAGTGCACAAGATGGTGATGACAAAAAGAATGAGAGAATATATTTATTACTCTACAATGACAGCTATAAAAATGTAAAAGATTGATTACAAATGACAACTATTACTAATCTATTTATACATAAAGTAAATTGTCATGTAGACCCTAACAAAAGGTAAACTTAAAGACTAAGCTAACTTAATATCTAAGCTAATAAAATAACTAGAACCCTAGAAGTTAAACATACTTCTGGGCGTAACCTCAGAAGCTTCTTCTTCTGACTAACAACCTCAGAGGCCCTATTGCTTCTGAGCAACAATGCTTCTGAGTAATAACATCAAAAACTTATGATTCTAACAACAACTTTTGAATATGAATAACTTCTAACACCTTTTACATCAAAATTTTATCTTAGTTTTATCTTGTAACCTTTATAACACTATATTAGAGTCAATAGAACAATATTCTCTTGTTTTACAGTAATAGATCACCAACCGTTTATACAAAATAACTATACTGAAGTGTTTTTTCTCTTAGCACTAAAATTGTATTTAAATAAATATTAAATTTAGAAGAGTAAAGAAATAAATAAAAGAGAGGTTCTTTTCAAATTTCTTGTGTATTTTCAAGTTACTAAAAGTCCTTCTTTTATAGTAAAATATTGAGTAAAGATAGGAAGATTTTTAGGGGTTAGATCTGCACCATTATTGATTATGTTGGAACAGGGAGAGAAGAATAGAGAGAGAGAACTCAGAGATTGGGAAGAATGAGTAATTCTTTATTTTCCATTCTAACTAACTATTACAATCAGACTTGCTATTTAAATCAATGTAACAAACTATTAGAAAACTAACTATAATTGGTTATCTAACAAACTAACCAATCAGTCCTTATTTCTTATTACAGTCATTGATCAATGTAGTTGAATTATTCTTTCAACACTCCCCTCTAATTCAAACTCCTTAGTGATACCACACTAAGCTCCTTCATCATCTTGTCAAAACGATCAACCCTCAACGCTTTGGTAAATGCATCTGCAACCTGCTCTTCTGTTGAACAATACTCCAGCTCTAGCCTTCCCTTGTGTACTTGCTCCCTCAAGAAATGGAACCTCACCTCGATGTGCTTGCTCCTCCCATGGGACACAAGGTTCTTGGCTAAGCTTATAGCAGAAACATTATCAACAAACAGCTTCAAGGGCTTCTCCACTTCAATCTGCAAAGCTTTCAACAATTCATCTAACCATAATGCTTGACAAGCTGCAGATGAACCAACAATGTATTCTGCCTCACAAGAACTCAATGCTATCACAGATTGTTTCTTTGAAGACCATGAAATAGGAGCTCCAAAGAACCTAAACACATACCCTGATGTGCTCTTTCTCTCATCCAGATCTCCTCCATAATCCGAATCTGAAAAACCTGTCAGCAATGCCTTTTGAGACTTAGCTTGATTTGGAAACAATATTCCAAAATCATGAGTTCCTTGCAGGTATCTTAGTATCCTCTTAGCAGCTCCCATATGAGTTTGCTTTGGATCACTCATAAATATACTCACAAGACCCACTGCATAACAAATATCAGGCCTGCTTGAACACAGAAACCTCAATGACCCTACAATCTGCTTGAACAATGTAGGATCTGCAGCTTCACCAACATCACTTCTTCTCATCTTGACATTTACCTCAGCAGGTGTATTCACTGGATTACAACCAGCCATATTTAACCTCTTAAGGATATCACTCACATACTTACTTTGACGCATAAGTAAACCATGTGATGTTCTAGTAAACTGCATTCCCAGAAAATAGGTCAACTCACCTAGATCTATCATCTCAAACTCTAAGCTCATAACCATGTTGAATGCTTCAATGTCTTTCACATTTGATCATGTCACTAGAAGATCATCAACATAGAGGCAAATGATCATGATGTTCTCATCTCCTTATTTCTTCACATAGACTCCATGCTCCACTGAACACTTAATGAATTTCAGCTGCTCTAAGAAGCTATCAATTCTCTTATTTCCAAGCTCTTGGAGCCCGCTTGAGTCCATAAAGTGCTTTGTTAAGTTTGTAGACTTTGTGCTCTTGGCCTTTGATCTCAAACCCTGGTGGCTGTGTTACATAAACTTCCTCATCCAATGGACCATTCAGGAATGCTGATTTTACATCCAGCTGATGTAAACTCCACTGCCTTGCATTAGCCATAGCAACAACCACTCTAATTGTCTCCATCCTAGCCACAGGAGAAAAAACTTCTGTATAATCCAGTCCATGCCTCTGCAAGAACCCTTTAGCAACTAACCTTGCTTTGTGTTTAGCTATTGATCCATCAGGATTAAACTTTAGCTTATACACCCATTTAACTCCAATTGGAAC